TGTAACTACTAAATCGCAATTAAGTATTAAAAGCTACATCAAATAAACAGCAAGCTTTAACGGTATTGACGTGACTTTCATACGAAGCTGCTCATTTTAAAGCTCAGTTCATGTAATGGAGAGGCAATTACACTAAATTTCAATTTCTAAAAGCTAAATGTGCCGATGAATGCTTGAATATCAATTGCCAGGCACACATGAGGACGCTGAAAACGGTTGCACGCTCGATTATAACACTTTTCGAAGCCAGACCACTTAACATTTGCTGTGAAAAATTAATCATTTCTATAGTTTAAATTAAAAATTGAAAGTGAATTTATCGGTTTTTAAAATTTTTGTGTTTTTGAATTTTTGCTTTGAGAGCAAACTAATTTCTTTCATAAAAATTGCATAATTTCTACACTTGAATAATGCTTTTTATGCGTTTGAACCTTTTATCAATTCAAACTGATTTTTTAAATTTCCGATTTAGAGCTACCAACATAAATAGCGAACGTGATAACTCAAATAACAACGTATTAAAATGAAAACAAAAAACTTTATAATTCTCAATTAATTCAGCATCTTTCGCACGCTTCTGCGTCTATGTCTAAGCTAAGCACAAACATTTGCAGGAAGTTGAAAATTTCTTTTTAATTAAATTGGTATTTCCGATTAATCAACTGCTGTGTAGAAAGTTTCCCCAACTACGTGAAACATATAACGGCAGTTAGGCGTCTAGCTACAGTTACACCAATGACAACAGCAATGGTAGAAGAGACAGCACGATTGCTACTACCACTACCACTAACAGCAGTCATAACACGAATAAAAACAAGCAATGAGAAGGCAAGTAGAAAAAATACCGAATAAAATTCAAAGAACGAATTATATCGGGCTAAAGAATATGCTGAAATAACATTTATGGTATCTTGCTAGTTGCTCGACTGCAAATGGCTGCCATGTCAGATGTTGCAAATAAAAACCGCAAAGGAAAATTTAATTAAATTAAACGAACGAACGAACTGAGGAGCAAAAAGCCAAACACCAAACAAGTCGAGCAGCTTGATGGTGGACCGACCGTGCGTAGAGTGTGTCAGCGTGTATCGACCGAATTGTGTCGTGCGAAAAGTATCTGCGGCGAAAATTGTTTAAATTTATGAAATTCTTGTGGCAAAGGAAATGCAAAGGGGACGAAAAAAAAACGTACGAAATAAAATAATCAAATTGAAAAATTTATGAAACATTTTAAAATGCTGTGGCCAATTCACCACCGAATTTTCAATAAAAGCGTAGGAGGTGCGGTGCAAATGAATTTAAGCGGGGTACGAGCGCATCCTTAAACGCAGCAGGACACGCACCGCCAGCTAGGCGGTACATACATACATACAACAAGCAAATGTAGTGAAAACGGAAAGCGAAATCTAAGCCAAGAGTAACTTTAACTGTAACTGTAACATAAGCAACAACAATAATACAAAAGCTGGCAAATAATACTTTGAAAGAAACAACTGAAAAAAAGATGAAATACGAAATTGAACAAAAAGGTCTAAAGCAAACTTGAACAAAAAAAATAAAAAATTGTGTAAAAAGTGGCAAAGTCATACTTACTACAATATTGCTAGCATCTTCACGGCTGGTTGGCTGACTGACTGGCTGGCTGCTGTATGAGCGGTTAGTGGGTGGGCGGGCCACCGCTCAGTCGAGCTTACTATACTTCTTTGCTTTGCGTCGCTTTTCGTCGTCCCCAACTTTCTATGCCGCGGTCGTGTGCTATGCTCGTTGCAACAAACACTGTATGCGTTTGCTTTCTGTTGTATGTTGAATTTTATGGCGGCTGCCTCTCTCGTTAGCAGTCAGCTACAGCAACACACGACAGCAACAACGACGATGACGAGGGCAGCGTGTGTGTTTGAATCCAAAATCAATACGAGATTTTGGGGTGAAGGCAGCAGTCTATACAAACAGAACTCCAACAGCACTCAGCTAGCAATACACACACACACACGCAGTAGCAGCAACTCTCTTTTGTATAATGAACACTGAGCGCGCGACCGTTTGATGTTAGCAGCGCGCAAAGGTTGAGGAGCTGACGCCGCTAATGCTGATACTATTTTACTGTTACTGAATCTCAATCCGACGCTGGCGCTGAGGCAGAGGCAGAGGCTGGGGCAGGTGCTGAGCCACTAGGCAGATGCACAGGCACGAAGTGATGTAGAAAATGGAGTGTGTACTTTTGCGAGTTTGTATGCGTGCGTGTGCGTGCGCATGTGTGTGCGTTACTACGCTCCTCTACGCTCCTTACGCTGTAACATCGAGACCAAGTCCAAGTCCAAACGCAGACGTAGACAAAGTTTTTGCCTTTTTTTATGCGTTTATATCAAAAGTTCAGTGTGTTTATTGTTGTTTTTTTATTTTATTTTTTTTTTGTACAAGTTCTTGCTGCTTTCTCTGTCGTATCGAACACTGTTCAATTTTCTTTTTCTAAGCGCGTCGAGTGAAAAAGTTTAAGAGCGTTACAACAACCATTAAGCGCCTTTTCTACGACCCTTACATTATAACATTTTTCATTTTCGTTTTCTTTTCTATTTTCCGTTTTAATCTTTTTAGCGAGTTGTTTTCAAATTTTCTAATTAAGTTGAGTAGGCAGCTTTAATGTTGGTGGCGTCGACGGCGGTTACGACTATTTACGTGACAGCAGAAACCAAAACAAAAAATTGTATGAACGCGGAAATTGAAAGGAAAGCAAAGAACTTAATTAAAAACTGGAAAATTGAAGACTGCGGGGCGTCAGAAAGGCTCCAATAGATGAATTAGAAGTTTACGACTAAGTCAAAATTTGCAGAAATCAAAAACCGAATTTGTAGCATACATATAGGCGCGCGTCCTTATGTATAAAAAACATGGACCAGATTTAATTTTAAGACGACATATTTAATTTAATCTAGCAGACATATTATTAAAGCAGTAAATAACATAGTTGGTGGTATCTATCTTCTATTGCCATGCTTTGAATAGACAACGGCGTCAATAACCACTATATATGAAGTATAGACGCAGCTACAAAGAGCTCAGATACGGTGATGGTAAAGTGTAGTGGGGGGGGGTTTGGCAATTCATGCTGCGTTTATGCTTATTTTTGCAACTTTGTAACAACGAGCAAGTGCAGGCTCTTCACCGTTAACGACGACCACGGCCTGTAGACTTTGTGACCACAATCAACCCACTTGAAGCGCTGGCAAACAAAACTGTGCAGCTCACAACAACCGCCCACGCAACGAACTCTGTTCATATCGCGATTTTCCTATTCTTATTCCATCAGCAGATTCGCCTCTCCGCATTATTTATTTTTATTTATTCACCGTTTTTTTTTTGTTTGTTAGTGCGCTGCCATTGTAGCTAGCTGTCCGCCTTCAACACCGCAACGGTGCACTGCCCACTCGCGTCAACACAGAAAAGAAAATAGATGATTGTTGCTTTTTAAAATTGCAAATAGTAAAAAACCACTTAATGTGTGCATGTGTGCGTGTCTGTGCGTTTGTCAGCACACGCATATGTATAGAATGGCAATGGCAACTCGCAATATGTGCAAATCAACGCAAAGTGGGTGTGTGCGGCGCGGCGGGGCAACAAGGTGAACTCGATTTCCTCCACACCGCCGCCAAACGCACACCGACACATACACACACATTTGCACATGACCATGCCAACTGACACACAGCAAGGAGTCGGAGAAAGAACGCTGCTTGTAGGTTGTGCAAAAAGGATGCCAGTTTTTCTTTCACACACAATTTCAACTTCAGCTTTTCATTACATTTCGATACCGTTAAAATAAGCGTTCACAAATTACTCGAAAACAACAATATTGCATAAGTTGCATTTGTAATTAATTAATTATTCACAGATGTTTTTATTGTCTAAATTCTCAAGTCGCCATTAATTTACACAATTTTTAGCACCACCAAACTGTATGTGAATGTTTGTGTTTATTTTTTTTTTTACTATTCGCTTGGTGCCCGTATGCAGTGAAGTAAGTGCTGCTGAGCTGTGTACCCTTTCCAGCCAAGGGCTCGCGTTCGACTGCCACAAATAGCGCCAGCAAGGTACACTGTTATAGACGCGAAAGTCGCGCAGATCCTTCGAACGGATACAAGGAACAGCGCAGCATCACAACAACATGCCGCCGAAGAGAGCGTCAACTATTGGCTGACTTGAATTTCACTCAACACAAATCGAATTTGACTCAACAATGTACGTAGTGGAGGTGCGCTCACGAACTAAACGAAATACATTTGACTCTACGCAAGTTGCAGCGCTGAATGCAGCTTTGGCTTCAGCAAGTCATGCCATACTTTAGCAGCAAATATGTTTCAAATATTTCACATATCTTCAACCATTCCAACACGCGGTAGTCTTCAGCCTTTGGCTTATGGTAGGTACATACGTTCAATTGCGCTGCCAACGTCGACTTTGGCAGCAATCAATTTCCGGTACAGCTTTTGAAGCTACCAACAACATCGTGTGCATAAGCAAGACGGCAATATGCATAGTGAAAAGCAACGTAATACTGCCGTTAGCTTCCCCACCCCAGCTGACAGACAGTAAGCAGCAGCACACTTCATTGCGCCTTTGGCTGGTGGCTGCTGTTCCAAGCAATTGTGTGCTCAGGCCGCTCACTACATGCGTGCTGAATCTGCATGAAGGCAGCATCAAACACAACAACAACAACATGCTGATATTTAAAGCGATAAAAATATTCAAGTATTTTAAGCTGCTCACAAGCTTCTTACATACAGCGCATGCGCAAATCGAAGCTTAAAGTACAAAGTCCCCTCTCACGTGCAGTTCTACTCTCGGCATTTGCCAACACTCGCTCTTGTTCACTGTGCGTGTATGTAATTGATGGTGTCAGATTAAGCACACAGCATTCAAATGGACACAGTCATTATTGCCAATACAACAACTATTTATACAGACATACATATACATATGCGTTTATATGTCGCCATATGACAACAAAAGAAAAGTAACGGCAGCATTGTAGCCAAAGACGACGATTGCGTTCGCCCGCCGACGAACGAGCACGATGCCTGCAAAGTATTTGACTATGGCAATGACAGCTTCGTTGCAGCATAAGTCAGAGGCTACAGAGAAGCATTAAGTAAGCACAATTACACAGAGAATCGGTAAACGACTTAACGGCTCAGAAACTTCCAGCTCACGACCGAACGAAGGACCCGCCAACTAAATAGCCGACACAGTGGCAACTTAACACAATCGGCAAAAGTAACATACATTCACATCTAGATATCTATGTGCCCAACATATATACATATGTAAAAACAAATGTGCATGATGGAGCATCAGCGAACATCAGAAAGCTTAAATTTGAATATTTACAACTACATATATGTGTGTATGTATGTTCATGTTCACTTATGTGTATGGGCATGTATTCACATTCAGATATTCAGCAGCGAATTCATATTGCGCAATGCCTACCCCATGAAATACAACAGAGACTGTGACAAATTGCAGGGATTGCATGCTGATATGTCTGCCAGCCTCTCGGGCAGGTGAGCTGTCAACCAGCCAGCCAGTGCGCCAGTGAGCCAGTTCGGGCCTATAACTGTGCAACATTGTACGCTTGTCGTGGCGCACAGTGTTGAGTCTGTGGTTTATCGACGACTACATTGACGACTTCTGGAAGAAATTTGCAATTGATAGTTTGACAGATAAACCTTAAACAAGAACCACATTTAACCACAATTTAGAAATGTTGCAACCTTTGTAGAGAATATGCATGAAATTTTGACTTTATGTTTGGAGATTATACTTTTTTTATTTTTAACATGTCATCACATTCAATATTCAAATGCAAGTAATAAGTCGCATGTTAGTTACTTCTTTCGCTTTATTAGCTCAACAGTTGCTGTTTTGAGCACCTCAAAATAACGTTGCCTACATTTAAGAGCGCAAAACAGTTTATTACAAAGATATTTTATTGAATGTTTTTAAATGAGCTACTTTAATCGAAATACAGCAGAGTCGTTGAAGTATTAGAACGTCGAACAACAATATAATATGATAAAAAAAATTTATTGAATAATTTGAAATATATAACATAACATCTGTCGCAGATTTGCAATAGTTAATTGGGTTACAAAAATTAACAAACATCTTAAATTTCGTGAGATATACATATCACAGTACATTTTAGACCTCAAGATATCTGACCTTATGTAAATTGTAAATTCATCCCATATACATACAACAACGTTTAATCCAATTTTCTATACCCTTGTTATAAGCCTCGGCTTGGAGGCGCTATGGAGCCATGAAACGATGAGCATCACCTTTATTTTTGACCGACTTTGACGGAGTTTTATGGAGTCGGCTCATTTGTGGAGCGCCATTTGCTATATTGTTGGACAGTTTTCTTGAGACTTCTCCTCGACGTCGTTTTTCGAAAAGATTCATTTTGTTACAAGTCTAGCATTGACATGCTTTAAAGCAAAGACATTAATCAAAATGTGTTGAGTCGAACCATAAGCGATATTTAGATCCTCTGCTATCTCTTTGATGCCAAAACGACAATTTTCTAGCACTGCTTTTTTTGTTTTTTGACTTTTTCGATATAGCTTTCGATAATTTTCGATAACTTCACCACCTTCGCAGAATGCTCTTTGCCACTTATACTTACTTGTGCTCGTGATAAAACACTTTTTCAACAACTCCGTAGCCGTGATTCCATTAGAAACACAAAATTTCAAACCAACATCGTTGTTTTGTTTTTCAGGAAAAATTGGATCAGTCCAGTCCGGGTCATATTTGATCAGTTGTGAAAATCGATAATTCTTGCATTAATCGGTAAAAATTAAAATATAAAAATTAATCCAAAGCTTTTTCAATTAAGCCTAAAACATGTTTTGGTTATGCATTAATATTTATTATTGCATAGCAGGCGTACGTTTGACAAGCATTTTGAGTATCAAATTTGAGTTTAAGTTGATAATGGTACTTTTTTCAAGTTGTCAGATGCTGAACATGACATGGTCCAGTCAAACTACTGGTGTAGTGCCCATTTTAGGCTAGATTTAAATAGCTCACATTATAGACTCGCGTTTATCGGACTTGTAAATATTTTATTGATAAAGTCTGTTTATTTAGTCCCTCTGATACTTCTCTATATATATGGTAAATTAATTAATACCGTCAAATATGTAAGACGTATGTATGTAATTTTTTTAGCTCTACCTATAAAGAAACAGATCACATTAAAAAATTTGCCGCAAGCCGTATAAATTATTATTATTATTCCGAAATGGTATCCCTTTCCTTTAAATGCAAAATTGGGAGCACGAAGAACAGTTCCATCATTTCACATATAGAATATGCAACAGCGTTTAATTTCCGTTGACTCATCTCACACAAATTTCTATGATTTCAAGTCCATGCTCACTTTACTCATCACCATTTAAACTTACTGATAGCACACATCCCTTTAATTCGTAGCTCACACTTAGGCTTTGTTTACAAAAGCAAATGCTGAATACAAAGGCGTTCAGCAACTGCACAATCGCTGGCAACCACATAGTATAGAGTGTGAAGCGCGTATGCGTTCGTGCCACATGCACATAATACATGGATATATGCACTAGATGTTGCAGTGGTGAGCGTTGTTGTTGCTGTTATGGCTTGCGCTGTAGCGTATGAGTGATAGATAAACTCTTAGTCGACAGGCTGACGGACTGGTTGACAAACCAAGATATGAGCCTTTATGTGAACGCGCACACACCAACACACATACACAGGCATGTTGGTGGTTAAGTGCATACAATGGTGAGTATGTGTGAAGAGGACACACGAAATAAAGGCTTAAAGGATGTAGAGGAGCTAATATGCGAATATACGAGCGCATACACAGATGGACAGACATGTTTGTGAATGCCATTGGCATTTCTTGGAGCGCAAAAATGAGTTTCTAAATCATGTCAGCCAACCCTGCTCCTGCGTCTGCGGCGCATTTTGGTAAGTAGCGCACAAACGCTTAAACCAAATACGGGATTTCCTTTGCGGTCGGCAAAAGGATGTGCCCCTCCTGCTAGCGCCAGCTTAAGCATACATGGCGTATGATTCACATTCATTGCCAAAAGACATACACATATATGCATACAGTGTATGTAAGTAGGGACGAGCGTGTTTGGAAAAAAGGACTAAGTAGAATGAAGTCGCAAATCGAAATAAAATGAAATGAAAACGAGCCACCGCAACCGCAACCTAATTACGGGTAGTAAACACGTTTGTGCCCACTGCATACAAAGCAAATGTAGGCACCTACACACATACATATGTACATAAGTAGCTGCTGACTTACCGCAAAAGCAAAGAAAGCGCAGCAAGCGCGCACTGACCGAACAGACAAATGGTTTGGGCCGACAGACACTGTTCATAAAAGCTAAACATTGGAAAAAATATGCACGTAAAGCAAGGCATGCCTCATGCCACGTCATTTGGATATGCTACACCTATGTAGGCATGTGTGTGAACATATTGCATATGGAGTAGCACAGAGTTTATACGAGAAAAAATCACATTTGTTTGCTCGAATGTATAGCCATGCGCTAGAATCCAGTCGAATCAGTGAAGAGAAGAAGAAAAAATAAATAAATAGATAAACAAAAAAGTGGACCCGAGCGTATCGAAAACATTAAGCAAACACAACCTACCAACATAAGTAAATGCCATCAATTGATGCTGCCGTCGATGGTATGTAGGTTCTGTTGGTAAAGTAGGCCTACGTCAGTGAAAGGACGATGCATACACTTTCATCAGGCAACTCCCAGGCGCTGTTGTCGTCGTCGTTGCAGCGCGGCCCGAGTTGGCCAACACAACTACTACCACGGACAAAACATACATACACACAGACACAGACATTGCTTACTAACAGACTGTAAATATGAAAAACGCTCCAGTTGAAATGTTAACACAGAAACGGGCACGTGATTAAAGGACGTGGCTAACAAAAACCAAAACGAGCATGAAAAATCACATGAAACTTTATTGGGTCGCTTCGTTCACTCTTCGACTGTTTGGTGGGCTGCTGCTGCGTCATT